GTTTACAAGTGCGGAGGGGAGAGGCCAGGTCCTCTGTGCTCTTCCTGAGTGCCCTGGCCTTACCCATTCCCCCAGCCCCCTCTGGGCAGCCAACCCGAGGAGCTGGGCCACCGGCGATTGTGCTGATCACTAATCCACCTCACCCAAAGTCCGGGGGTTGGAGCGGCCAGCACAACTGGTTGTAGACTCTGGAGTCAGGTCCTTGGAGGAATTCCTCACTGAACGATGTTTTGGACCTTTTATTTTTCTCTATAGCCTCCAGCTGAAGAAACAGATCGCCTTAGATACATGAAAGGTGAAGACACCTACTATCCCCATGGAGCCCAGGTGGGGCTGTGAGTCTGCTCTTTGTACAGCCGGTGGGCTCGTGTTGCTTTGGGCATCCCTGTGCCTGAATTCCTGCAGTACACTCGGTGGTAAGAACGGGGGTGCCTGGCAGGGAGGGAAGCGTGTCGGGAGAGTGCACAGCTGGGGAGACGTTTACCTGCGGTGAGCGGGAGCTGGCTGATGCATGGAATCTCGGTGCAGGGAACTCTCCACACTCAGAGAGGTTCCCACTCCCGCAGGGTCCCTTTAATCAGGGTGCTGGGTTGTCAGCAAAGCAGGGTCCCTGTGAGGATCATGGTGCCTTCAGGCAGTGGGAAGTGAGGGGTCCAGTGGCACTTACATTAACTGTGCACCCGAAGCCAACCCCCGTCTCTTTCAGCCTGTTTCCTAATCTGCAAAATTGGAATGATGTTAACCATCCCGCAGGTTCGTTGATGGGCTGGGACACACTAGACAGCCAGGAGCTGGAATTCCTCTGTCCCCTGATTGTTATCCTTCTTTTCCACTATTTGCTCTCACAAGCTGTCTCTCTGTCTCTCTCTATTCACTTGTAACATTCTCTCCTGCTCTGGTTTCATTTGATTCCCACCCTCCTTCCAATCCCCAGATGAGTGAAATTAATTTCTGTGTGTCAGTTCCAAATTCCCGGGAAAGATGCTCTGTCTCCTCTGGATTGGTTGTCCAACCCATCAGTTGCAGCCAGAGGAGTGACTCCCTCTGTGACCAGTGGAGGGGCTCTGCCCAGACCCCAGCCACCACTGTGGGAGCACATAGCTCTCAGTGGAGGAGGTACTGGCTGTGACTTGGTGTCACTAAGTGTGAAGTTTTGTCTTCTCTTGCCCCACCTTCATCCTCCTAAACAAAGATGAAAATTAAACACTCCCGAGATTTGTATCATGGAACACTCAGGGTGGGGGCTAAGACGGCTGGATTCCCTGCTGAGTGTAAGGGGCTACAGTGACTGCAACGAGAGCCTGTAAAGGGAACCGCACCGGCCCCACAGGACACTTAGGGCACTGAGTCTGCGTGGCATTGAGCCAGGCTTCTGACTACAGCTTAGGGATCTGTTCTGACCGGTTAGTCTTTGAAACCAACCAGCTTTGGATTCCTCAATCCCTCCCTGAGGTTTTACCTGAACCACCAGCTTCTGTATCTCTGAAGACAGATGATGAGGACCCTTCACGTAAGGCATTTGCACAGCCCTGTGCGGGAATTTGTGCTGCACGGTCTGCCAGGTGAGCTGACCGAAGTTGGTATTTTACT